CAGGACAATTCTTAGATGATCAGGAGTGATGTGTCAAAGTTTCGGACAGTTTGGTCTAATACCCTTAAAAAAAAGTGTTGCATTCGAATCGACTGTTTTGAAGGGTGTTTCACTTCACCTTAAATATTTCTTTGGAACTATTAAAAGAAACATTTCTTGAGTATAGTTGTTTGTTTTTGCTCACAGTACCTCTGAGTCGTCTGGGGTGCAATCGGAGTTGGAGCAGTTAGATTCGTCGGGATCTGGAGAACTGTCGCATCCAGAGCTGCCACAATTGTCGCAGTCCCAGCTGGAACACTCTGAACTTCCTGAACTTTTTGGGGGAGTGATGTTATCGTTATCACAGCTCGAGTTAGAACAATCTGGATCTTCTGGACTATCCGGGATCGCACGGCCGCAGCTGGACCCGCTGCAGCTGGACGAGGAATCCTCGCAATCGTCTCCGATGCAATCCTCTTCGGAAGAGGTGGGGATGGGATGATCCACGCAGGAAGATCCATTACACTCCGTGTGATTGCAACCGAAGAGGTCGCAATTAGGAGCATTTGGAAGAGGCAAGTTGCAGTAGATACCGACGCATGGTTCCTCAGGAATCGGCGGAGGTATTTCCGGTGAACAGTTTCCGTCTTCGCAGGAGCAATCTGAACCTTCGCAAGATTCGGGATCGGGTCTCGAACAATCCCCTTCGCTGCAGGAACAATCTGGGCCGATACAGGGCAGAGAACATTCGTCACCTAGAAAGGAAATACTTGCTGGTACTCCGAGAAGATCTGACTAAACCGAAGAAATATTTGAACGGCAGGGAAGAAGTATTTCATTCAAACAATAATAACTTTCCTCGAATGAGCTGGAATAAATCTGATGAAACGTTTCTTCGGAATTATGACGATTTATTTGAGTTTATTCGAGCCAAAGATTTATTCTTCGAATTAACTAAATATTTCTTTGGCTCGGTGAAATTTTATTCCCGGTCCAAGGATACTGGATACTCGAAAAGCGTACACGGATTAAGGTGAAGTGAAACCCCCTTCAAATCAGTCGATTCGAATACAATACTTTTTTTTAAGGGTATTAGACCAAACTGTTCGAAACTTTGACACGTCACTTCTGACTATCTAAGAATTCTCCTGACACATTCAAAATTTGGATTTTTCAAAAAAATTTTTTAACTCAGTCCAGACCAGAATCAAAATGGCGTCGAGCTCTCATATTTCGATCAATATGCAATTATCGAAGGCCCTGATATGAGAATCGAAAGGGTCAGGACAATTTTACAATTTAGAACACTCTGGTAATCGATAAACTCGCATTTGAACGGGATAAGGGCAAAAAAAGTGTTGTATGCGCTTCTATGCCAAAACGATGGGAATACGAGGTCTTGGAGTGAAAATTTAATTGACCTGGAAATCACAGATGGCGCAGGGGGTCCCTCTGCAGTCAATTAGGGCCCCAGAAAGCATGAATCCAGAGGATTTCTGGAGTTTTACTTCGATTTCTTGATAATTATTGTACGAAAACGACAGGCGGTGTATGCCATTTGGTACAATACCCAATATAATTCGGTATAGCTGTCGATATAAAAACGAACGTCGGCAACGTAGGCGTTTAGATAAAATCTTCTTTATCGACGTTGATCAAGTTCCTCGACGTGTTTCACTTCACCTTAATGATATTCTGACTTTATAACGTTCTGTCGAAATTAATATCTGGGGGGAGAGATGGTAATGAACAATCCGAACCAGTACATGGTAAAAATTGGTTATTACCTTCACAAGTACAATCTGGACCTATGCAAGGAGGTGGTGAGGGTGGGCAGTCTGGACCTGTGCATAAAAGAAATGATAATGAACAATCTTCGTCATTGCACGAACAATTACGTAATGGCCAATGTACATTAGCAAAACAATTGTTACCTTCGCATGAACAATCTGGACCCATGCACGGAAGAGGCGTTTCAGGTGAACAATCTGAATCTATATATACAAGGGACATCAATGAACAACTTTCATCATTACAGGAACAATTTAAATCAATTTAAGATAGAAAACAATTGTTACCTTCACATGAACAATCTGGTCCTATGCATGGAAGGGGCGGCAAAGGTGGACAATCTGGACCTATACATAGAAAAGATGTCAATAAACNGGAAGGGGCGGCAAAGGTGGACAATCTGGACCTATGCATAGAAAAGATGTCAGTGAACAATTTTCATCACTACAGGAACAATTTAGGTCAATTTAAGATAGAAAACAATTGTTACCTTCACATGAACAATCTGGACCTATGCATGGAAGAGGTGGTAAAGGTGAACAATCTGGACCTGTGCATAGAAAAGACGTCAATGAATAATTTTCATCACTGCAGGAACAATTTAGATCAAGATAGAAATCAATTGTTACCTTCACACGAACAATCAGGACCTATGCATAGAAAAGACGTTAATGAACAATTTTCATCACTACGGGAACAATTTAGATCAAGATAGAAAACAATTGTTACCTTCACATGAACAATCTGGTCCTATGCATGGAAGAGGCGGCAAAGGTGGACAATCTGGACCTATGCATAGAAAAGATGTCAATGAACAATTTTCATCACAACAGGGACAATTTAGGTCAATTTAAGATATGAAACAATTGTTACCTTCACATGAACAATCTGGACCTACGCACGAAGGAAGCGGTAAAGGTGGACAATCTGGACCTATGCATAGAAAAGATAGCAATGAATGTTTGCCACTACTCGAACAATTTAAATTAACTCTAGGTATGAAACAAAAGTTGCCTTCGCACGAACAATTTGAACCTGTGCACTAAAATAACACCTTAAGGGGATGTGAAAGTGGTATCTGAGGGGTCAATCGTTCATGAAACTTTTCTCCAGAGTGGGTGCACCGAATTATCTGAAGCTTTAATACGTAACTATGGAAGCCCTAAGGAAGAAGGCAATGCTCGTGGAATTTCATTTTTCGAAGAAAAAAAACTGTCTTTTTTGGTTTTTGTCCGAGATAAACATACACTTTCTTTGAAAAAATGAAATTTCACGAGCATCGCGTTCTTTCATAGAGCCTCCATGATCTCGTGATAAAGTTTCATATGATTCGGTACGCCGAATTTGAAGGAAAGTTTTATATATATTGTGACTTTTTGGTATGTATATATGTCACTTTCATATCACCTTAATACCGAACAATTCTTTGCAGAAGTAATCAGCACCAAATGAAGGTATTCTTACCTTTGCATAGGCAATCTGAACTCTCACATCGCGGCTTCTTGCAGAACGGTTCGACACAATCAGATATGTTTAAGTTCGGTTCCAAGCAATTATCACCTTCACAGATAACAGTCGGAGTCGTAGATTGTCGGAGTCCGTCGATATCAATCGAAGGGGTAGGTTCCTCTCCAGTGGTGACATCCAAACTTGCCGTAGTTTCAGTTTCATCGCGAACAACCGTCGTTTCCGGAATAATGTCCGGACAAACCGGACAAGTATCAATGTTCAAACCGCAGTTGCATTCTCTAGCACTGCACCTTCCACACAACTTCTCATTATCAACCTCAATCAAGAACTGATTGATCAACACCTTGACATCGGCGCTGATATAAGGACACCTGCTGATGATGAGCAACCCCCTGCGAAGGCATTCCCTGGGTCTTGTGCAAGACAATTGAACGGTGACGTTTTTCGTGTCCCACAACCTCTCTTTCAGGGCGTCCTTGATAAAAATGACGTCCTGGAACTCTTCCAACCCCCTCAGGTTCTCGTAAGAGTCCAACAATTGCAACAATTCGTTAACATTCTCCACCATCCGACTCCTGTGCCAGAACTCTGCATGCACCTGAAGAGCGGTAACAATGTCCACGGCAAAAGGGATGGACCGGATCTGCTCCAGGATGTTCAACAACAGCTGATCGGGACTACTGTGTCGGTACCTGTCTATCAACAAACACTTAATGTGAATATTTAGACTGTAAATCAGGTGCACCAGGTAATCCTTGGCGTCGCTGATGTCCTGACACACCAAATCGACAGGTATCACCAAATCGAACAGGTACTTGAACCCGACGGTTTCGTTCTCAAAGATGGTGCCGAAGTTCTCGATGTTCGGGCTGATGGAGCTGAGTTTTCGCACCAGGTGTTTCGCCAGCACCCTGGAGCCGGCTCTGATGTTCTTCGGGAATTCCGTCGTGTAGTTCAACAGGTAATCCTTCAACAGAGCGCTGATGGAACGGTATTGCGTGATCTCTTTGGCTTCTATCAAGGTGAGGTTCCTTTTCTCCCAATCGCGGTCCCAGTTGACGCGTTGATAGAGGCTTTTCTCCGCTGATAACACCTCATTGTTGTAGCTGTCGTACTGGATGTGGTTTAGGAGCTCCACGACTAGCTGGTGGGTGAACAACAAGTCGCCATCTTGGAGTCTCTTCAGGATAGATCTCAGGGAGAATCCTTCGGGATAGTGCTCTTCTAGGAAACTTAGGACCTCGTTTGTGTAATTCTTCGACTCGTCTTCGTATCGAAATAATTCTGGAGTGTTGCTGATGCCGATGCAAAGGGTGATCGTTTCTTCTGGGTATGTCTTCAGGTACTCGTGCATGTACTCGCAGATTCTCGAGGGCTGCACGTCCCCGTCTTTTCTGATCCCTGGAATTATGCTGAAGATGTTGTATTGTCGCTGGAACGTTTCTTGGTAGATCCTGAAGATCTCTTCTAGCTGACCTACTCCGTAATTCTCGTACGTTTCGTAGGCTAGGTGCCCGAAACTCTTCAGGATCGTTTTCCGTAATTCTTGGCCATACCTTAGAAGGTATATCGTCGCTTCTTGAAGACTTTCCACTTCTTTGTTCAGGTCTTCTTCTTGCAATTGTTGCTGCACGTGAAATTCTGCACGAGCACTGAGGGATGAGGCATTCGCTGGTAGAATGTCTCTTCGGAGGAGAGCGTAATCAATTCCCTGGAAGAAATTTTAATCCTTTATTAATCCACGCTTTTTAACTCTTGATAATGAACATTTACATAGTTTAATCTGAAAATTATTCATAATATTTCTGGTGGAGGTTTTCATTTCCCATGTATTTAGAAATACATTACAAATGTGCTGAGCATTTCTGTTAACATTTCTATTTCCTTTAACGACATTTTTTTTTATTTCAGGATTATTTCGGAGACAATGCTTTACTATGGACAATGACATAGTTTTGTCAGAAAATTATTCATGGTATTTGTAGTTCGAGTTTCTTGCAGGTCTGTGTAATTATGGTATAAACAATATATAAATAATTTCGACAATATTGGTCAATAAATGCTCGAATGGCTCCGGGGAATAAAAAGCGCTCGTAAAGTTTCAATGAACGGTGGTGAAATATATCTTTAGTGTCCAATTTGTTCCACTGGTACATTGTGCCGTACTTACAACATTCACGGTCATTGAAACATTATCCGATAGCGTTTTTACTGTCGCGGTAATTATTGCAGAGCCGTAGACTATAAAAAAAGAGGCTTCCTGTGTGGCGTGGATTTTGTGACTCGATAAAAATACTTACAAGTGCAATATCCCGACAATGTTTAATTAAATCGATAACATCGCCGTATTTTTCAGTTTTTTAAGCGAGCTCACATCTATAGTTCCCTTTTCCCCGAAGAATTTAGTCGAAAAGTAAATTGTCTTTATAATGGCGTCAATTGCTGCGATTTACAATGATGCATCCTCTAATTTCCGTATTTCACGCACTGAAATAAGAAATTTCATTGAACCAAAGAAATGCTTCTTTGAATGGTAACAAAAAATGTTGTTAATTCAAGGAATAATTATTTAATTGAAATAAATTGTAATAATTCCGAAGAAACGTTGGATCCAATTTATTCGAGTTCACTTGAGCCGAATAATTATTCTTTTACTTAACAATACATTTTTTTGGTATTTCGAAGAATTATTTCTCAGGTTCACTGAAATGTATTTTTTTCAGTAGATACAAGAGATGCGAGAAATTCTACTCTTAACTTTATCTGTCTATGCGTACCTAAAGTAATTTTCTTCGCATTTATCATAACAATCTGTTCCCCAAATTTCGCATAATTAATTGAATTAACTAATTACGGTGCAGTCCAAGCGACCCCGAATCGCCTGAACTAGATTTCTCTGAATTCTCCTTAACCCAATTTTGCGGAATCGATCGTACCAAAGGCTCGCTCTGCTTAATAATGTTCCGATTAATATGCCGACATCTACTTCGTCCTCCCCGTATTAATACTTAATTATCCAGAACGCCCACGGAATTAAACTTGCAGTTGTAACGATATTCGCCGCAGCTAAATACATCCCTTAAAATTCTGGAACACATTACAGTACGTAGAAACGTATTTCCCGGAATAAGGATAATAATAAAACGTGACTAGAATAAAGGTAAAAAGACCATCAAATTAGGAAATCAAAATGGCGGACATTACTGCCTTCGCTGAGGATGATGGGAAGGCATTCATGTCTCCCAATGGGCGGAATAACAAAGAATTTACAGGTTTTCGTGTAAATTCAGGTTATATGTTGACGCTTGATATTTAATAAAGCAACTAACCAAGAGTGGAGTAATTGAGATCGCACGAATAACAGAATGGCGTTTAAAATAGAACGAAGAGGAATTAAATTACGGAAAGGCGGGAATTTCAAAATGAAGGACCCAACTCACCACGTATCACCATAGGGTAGAAAAAGATGGAAGAACGATAATATTTTACGTTATCAGTTAACTAGCAAACTGACTAATAGTAAACATATTAATAATACCTATTTCCGATTAAATGGTCACATCCTCCTGGGCGTCTACATCAATTAAAAGTCCCATAAAATTAACAATTAAAATTTGAAATTCCGTGCCCCGACACAAATATACACTTATTCAATATTTCCAAACAAACGTATAATCTCACAACATCACGTTACAATTTCGCAGAATTGTGTAAAATTAAAATACCTATGTTACGTTACAAAATAATTAATAAAATTAACACACCGGGTTTGAAATTTCGGTAGAGCGGTATAAAATCAGAATATTAATAAGCAGTGCATACATATGCATTGAGAGTATCCAGCATCCCTGCACTGATAAAAAATGTCATTGAACCAAAGAACTATTTACTTAATTCAAAGAATAATTATTTGACTCGAGCTGAAACAAATCGTCATATTCCGAATAAACGTTTCATCCAATTAATTCGAGTTTATTAGAATCAAATAATAACCCTTTGAATTAACAAAATATTTCTTTGGTTCAATGAATTTTTTTCTCAGGGCGCATCTCACCTGGGCACAGTTAAGCATCGAAAGAAGGCAGCAGAAGATGGGCACGAGGGCGCCTCGGAATGCCTTCGGCTTGGGCGCCATCTTGGTGATCTTTGGAAGGCGTCCTTCTTTGATGGTCCTGGCCTCGCCTTGCGAAGAGATCGCTCCGGAAAAAACAGTGCTAACTGTTCGACACTTGCCAGGGCTTATATCGAATCGGTGATCGGTCCCGGGTGTCGATGGAGTTCCATGTAGGTGGGCGATGCGAACGGGTGTCACACCCATACCGCCCCGAGACGCGTCGTAACGAACCGAGATTTGAAATTAATTATAAATGGTCCTCAGCGATGCGGGGTGAGGCGAAGACTCGGACTTATGGTCGGCTCGCAATTTACGGCACTAATCTGATTTCCGATCGTACTTCGTTATTGTCGTAAAGCTTGGCATTTCATTGTTTTAATTGCGCGCGCTACCCCGAGATCCGCAGCGGCGTCGCCGCCATTACTGGCCGATCTTGGACGCGGAATTATTCCGGAATTCTCTGGATATGAAGAATTGCGAATAATGTAGTTTACTTATCTTTTGTTAATAGACGTTAACGTCGATATTCCGGGTGCAGGGAGGTGTATGTAAGCGTGTATTCAACGATAATTACGGATATTCGGGAATATTGGGCGTTGGTCATGGCCGCCATTGTGGATTTCCTGTTTCGCTTCACAGGGATGAATGGCGGCCGCAATCCGGAAAAACTTTTTTGATACAATGTTTAGTTCCCAGGAGTTTGTTTGATTGAGTGCTCGTAGAAGTAATTAACCCAGAATTCGATACTTTTTATTGGCGACCATATCGAGACAAGGGTGCGATATGCGGCCGAACGACATCGAGAGTTCGCGTCACGCTTCACCGTCGATCTGCAAATATGAGCCGGCTGTAATTGGCCGATATTAAATTCTAAATCCTATATCTATACGACGAAGGCTCGAGGCTAAACTATTTAATCGGCCCTCGTAATCTTCCGACTAATTAGTCGAGTTTTTTTGGAAAGTTCCGAATCGACCGTAGTAAATAATTAGTCGACATTTCGGCATTTTCCAGCTCTAATCGAGAACATTGAAAGAAAATTTTTTAAGTCCAGCATAGGTCTGACTAATGTCCTCGTTATCAAAGAAATATCGCATTCCACGCTGAGGAAAATTCAGCGAAGAATTCAGTTAATTTGAGAATTTGTTTGCTACGAAACTGTTGTTAATGAAATCTCGGCGAGTTTCTTCGATGAGTTGTAAGGCAATAGGACACCTGCAATTTCATCGTTTACAGGTAATTGCCGACACGGAATGTCTTTCGGCGAGATCGATGGCCTCCATTTTGAAAGTCCAGAGGTCTTAAAACTTAAGACCCGTGTTGTTCTTACTTCCTCTTAAATAGATAAGCGAGCACGAATTAGCGATCGGTTAGATTCAATCATGTACCGCCGATTTCACGCCCCGTCAGGGTCAGAATGCAACTGCAATATTTATCAGCTGCGGCTTGGCGTATTCGATCTGTTTTTACAGTCTTTCGATAGACGTAAATGATTTTCCGCTTCGTTTATGTTCGTTTGCCGCAATGGAAGAATTTATTAAGTCCACCAGAGTAGAGGTGAGTGTCTGAAATCTGAAATGAAAATGATAAACGATGAACATTAAGAAATCCTGTTTCCACGGTATAAAGTGTGTGTACACTGAACAAAAATTTCATTGAACCAAAGAAATATTTGGTTAATTCAAAGAATAACCATTTAACTCGAATAAATTGGATGCAACATTTCTTCGGTATTATGACCATTTATTTCAGTTTATTCGAGTCAAATGATAACTCATCGAATTAACAAAATATTTCTTTGGTTCAATGAAATTTTGTTCTCAGGGTGTTTATTTATAGTCGACCTTATACATGGATCGGCGTTCCCTTTGTAAAGCAGTTGATGTAATGTAGTTAAGGCCGCCATTTTGAACTTAACAGAGTGCACATTAAGGCAAGGTCAAAGACGGCGTACCGGGTTCTTTTTTCTCCATCGGAAAATCTAGGAAACTACTTAGCAAAGCCCGTCGTGACATTATCGATATTCCTACGTAGATAGTTACAGTAGACTATAATTAAACCTGTGCTTCCAGTATCGAATTCGTTTAGACCTCCATGCTTCCGAAAACTCTAATGACCATAACTGTAACCTTGCAAAGTGCAGATGAAGTCACAATATATTTAATTACATCCATTAACGATACCTTGACACGCCACTATTAAAGCGCAAGATTTGGATACATTGATTTTTAATAAAAATTCGCAAAAACACTTTTAAGGTGAAGTGAAACACGTCGAGGAACTTGATCGACGTCGATAAAGAAGATTTTTCTAAATGCCTACGTTGCCGACGTTCGTTTTTATATCGACAGCTATACCGAATTATATTGGATATTGTCCCGAATGGCATACTCCACCTGTCGTTTTCGTGCAATAAATATCAAGAAATCTAAGTAAAACTCCAGAAATCCTCTGGATTCGTGTTTTCTGGGGCCCTAATTGACTGCAGAGGGACCCCCTGCGCCATCTGTGATTTCCAAGTCAATTAAATTTTCACTCCGAGACCTCGTATTCCCATCGTTTTAGCATAGAATCGTATACAACACTTTTTTAGCCCTTATCCCGTTCAAATGTGAGTTTATCGATTATCAGAGTGTTCTAAATTGTCGTAAAATTGTCCTGAACCTTTCGATTCTCATATCAGAGCCTTCGATAATTGTATACTGATCGAAATATGAGAGATCGACGCCATCTTGGTTCTGCTCTGGGCTGAGTGAAAAATTCTTTTGAAAAATCCAAATTTTGAATGTGGCAGGACAATTCTTAGATGATCAGGAGTGATGTGTCAAAGTTTCGGACAGTTTGGTCTTTTACCCTTAAATAAAAGTGTTGTATTCGAATCGACTGATTTGAAGGGGGTTTCACTTAACCTTAAAGCGCCCAATTCGTATGTATCGGTTTTTAATACAAAATCGCATAACCTCTTTTAAAAGAACCCGTGATATTCAGAGTCGATGCCGCCTGCGCCGCCACCGCCGGCGTCTGCGCGAAGCTTTCGGCAATATGGATTCCGCGCTGGGCTCACGTCGGCACTCGTCGAGCGGAGTACGCGAGCACCCGTCGCCCTGCAGCCCCGCACCTGGCGCAGCCCTTGGACCCACCATGTCGACATAACCTAGAAGGGCAGTCCCTCGTCCCGGCGGAAGAGAGGGCTCAACGGCCGGAGATGTCGCAGCAAGATTACGTGCACGCGTGCCAGAGGGCAGAGCTGCTGGGCCTGCCGACCCCCAGTGAAGAGGAGTGGACCAGGACGAGGAAGGAAGAGGCCCAAGACGACGGGCGCCAGGAAAACGAGGACAAGACTATAGAGGTATCCCGGGGTGAAAAGGAGAGAGACAGAGGTACCACTTCGAGGCACATCCGGGTGATGGCGTATCGACGGGTATCGATGGCTCGGCTCCCGGCTCGATTGACCCCTATGGGCATGTTCAATTTGCAGATGTTTTAAAAAAATCGGCTAAAAAAGCCCTTTCTTTAATCGTTTAAACACGGGGAATATTAATACTGCTGTATTTTGAAAATGGTGTCACTCAGAATCGGAAAGATTATGCGGTTTGAAATTGGATTTACTCCTATTGGGCCCTGTGTTCAATTAGCGGATGTTTAAGAATAAATCAATTAAAGATGTCCTTTTTCAATCGTTTAAATATCGGGAATACTAATAATGCTTTGTTATGAAATGGTATTGCTCGAAACATTTTCTTCGGTATAACTCAATGATGCTTATGATTAGAAGAGATAAGATTCACCTTCTAGACGAAGATTTGAAGAAGTTTAATTACCAAGTCCACCCTTAAACTGTTAATTAAATTTTCTCCTTTTACTTTAACGTGACTTTCCAGATGCCTCCCAAAAAACACAAAGTGGTGGAATTCACATTTTATATACGTTAAATTAGGGGAAACAGGGTTGTAGGTGTAAACATTAAAGGTTTATTAAACAATAGCTTAATAAACGTGGAATAGACGTTATATCGACGTTGATTTTCTCGTGGAAAGGACAAAACGGGTAAAACACGATTTTTCAACGCACTTTATACGATCACTGTCGACAGTTTTACCCCATTTCTCAAAGTGTATTCCAACACTTTGTGTTCATTGGGCTTGTACAATTTTGCCGCAAAGATTATGTGGAAAGCATTTCGCGCGGATGATCACGAAAAGGTTATTTTCGCGACCTTGGCCGTGACCGAATTTACATTCAGTTATGACGCTCGCTTTGAATTGACAATGTCGCTCGTTTCTTTTCGAAACTGCGGCCTGTGAGGAATAAGTACATACATCTCGTTCCTAAATGGGTCAACCGGGACTAACTCGAAGCGTTATTTAAACTCGCAATTAAAGAACGGTTTGCAACCCTCGGGTAATCTTTTAAACATCTGTTTGCTTTCCAGAATTTGGACCAATCGGACGAAAGCGCACGGCGCGTCGGTGGCGGGTTAGATGAATTAAACAGCATCCTTAGTGCAACGCAAAAGAAGATCAACAGGTTTAAGGTCGGTGTTTAATTACTAAATTCGAAAATAGAAAAGAAAAAATAGTAATTCCGAATAAAATGAGAGATCGTTAAGTCAATATCTAGGAATTGGCCAGGGAAATTCGATTCGATCTCCTTTTCGCGATGAAACTTCACGTAGGCTTAAGGTACTATGAAAGTGTCATATATATATATATAGAATGACCTTTTCATATCACCTTGAGGTGAAGTGAAACACCCTTCAAATCAGTCGATTCGAATACAACACTTTTTTTTAAGGGTATTAGACCAAACTGTCCGAAACTTTGACACATCACTCCTGATCATCTAAGAATTGTCCTGCCACATTCAAAATTTGGATTTTTCAAAAGAATTTTTTAACTCAGCCCAGACCAGAACCAAAATGGCGTCGATCTCTCATATTTCGATCAGTATATAATTATCGAAGGCTCTGATATGAGAATCGAAAGGGTCAGGACAATTTTACGACAATTTAGAACACTTTGATAGTCGATAAACTCACATTTGAACGGGATAAGGGCAAAAAAAGTGTTGTATACGCTTCTATGCTAAAACGATGGTAATACGAGGTCTCGAAGTGAAAATTTAATTGACCTGGAAATCACAGATGGCGCAGGGGGTCCTTCTGCAGTCAATTAGGGCCCCAGAAAGCATGAATCCAGAGGATTTCTAGAGTTTTACTTCGATTTCTTGATAATTATTGTACGAAAACGACAGGCGAAGTATGCCATTTGGTACAATACCAAATATAATTCGGTATAGCTGTCGATAAAAAAACGAACGTCGGCAACGTAGGCATTTAGAAAAATCATTTTTATCGACGTTGATCAAGTTAATCGACGTGTTTCACTTCACCTTAATTTCTCGCAATTCTTTTTAGCGTTATCGGACTTGGGTTTAGAAAAATTCTGCACTTTGTGTGGCACACCCGATGTGTGCGATTCGGATTGATCGACTCGACCGGAAATTGACTTATCTGGCCGTGTCCTGCCTTTGAAGTTAAAAATAGGAAAAATCATCAGGGCTGGAAATTGGTACACGTGGGGAGCACTCCGAGGAATATAATTTTCGAACAAGATTGCAGCTAGCCCACGGAAGTGTTGCACTTCGTCGAGGATTGATCAGACCGAGTCGCTGACTTAATCCGGTGACCCAGATGAAAACGTTAGCGTACGTAATCGGCTTACCGGGATTTTACTCGCTGCACTTAATTCCTGCAGAACGCGGCGAAAAAGTTGGACAGGAATTTGCGGATTGTCCCTTTTCCTTTTTAGTGAAATTTAAAAATCAATTTTGTGGGAACATTTTAGGGTAATTTAATTGACCGTGAGAATCATTGAAATGAGGAATTGGAATTTTTTATACATCTCAATACAGTTCAGTAAGTCCTGGGGGTTGTTGAAATTCGGAGATGAATTTTTCTGTGCACTTCAATGCAGTCCAATAGATCACGAGGGTTATCGGTATTTCAAAATAATCTTTTTGCCCATTTTCGAGTAGTCCAATAAATCGTGGAGGGTAAGGGAATTTAAAATTGAATCTCTTCGAGCGTTTCAATACAGTTCGATAAATCACGAGGGTCAGGAATCGATCGTTTGGTCGAGCCTCCTTTGAAATATGTTATCCAGTTTTTCAGCTGGGATTAAAAAAAAAAAAATAGAAAAAGGACATAGGAAAAATTATCTACACAAAAATATATTGGTAGCAAAATTGATTTAAAAATCAGGGAATATTTCAAGCCATAAAGTACTGAAAAATCAGGTAATTTCCCTGCTTCTGCCCTGAGAAGAAAAAAAAAAAGAAGAAGAGATTGATCGAACCAAAGAAGTATTTCTTTGAACAGTACCGAAGAAATATATTCGGCTCAAATAAGTCGTCAGAATTCCGAAGAATCGTCGCAATTAATTTCTTTGATTGGATCAGAGCCAAATCATTATTCTTTAAACCAATGAAATGTTTCTTTGGTACTATTCAAAGAAATACTTCTCTGGTTCAGTGACGATTTTTTTTTTTTTCAGCGTGGCAGTCTTTTAATCCTGTTTTTATTCTTCGTTGGCGAGTATACCTCGTGGAGTGGATTTAGCTTGTAAACGAGATTTCCGGAAATCGGTAACCCCGAGAGCGTGCCGCAATATTGTCCCGTGTAACCGCAAGCGTAATTGTAACGCCGGTAGAGCGTATCGTCATTTCGCGGGTAATTAACACGCCATCGAAGGTCATCGACTAATGCATGACCACAGGGACATTCCGGATCGATTTCCTGATTTGGAAACAATTTAACTTTGCCCCGGCCCAAGGCAAATCCGTCGAGCGAGAGAAACGACCGTTTCGGTTTTTCATCTCGCTTTTGCGGACGTCACTGCTCGCAAAAACGCCGCCAATGGATCTTTTTTATTTAAAAAGGAAAGAAAAAACGGCTCCAAAGAGAAATAGCTCATTTCTTGGAAGGCTTTGTCGAAAATTCAAATTTAAGCCCCGCGCGAATTATCCTGACACTTTCATTTCTTATATTGGAGCCTTCAATAATTGTATGTCGATCGAGATACGAGAGCTTGACGCCATTTTGGTTCTGGTCTGGGCTAAGTTAAAATAATTTCTTTGAAAAATCCAAATTATCAAAGTGTCAGGATAATTCCTTGGTGCTCGGGAGTGATGTGTCAAAGTTTCAGAGTGTTCGATCCTATACCCTTAAGGTGAAGTGAAACACCCTTCAAATCAGTCGTTTCGAATACAACACTTTTTTTTAAGGGTATTAGACCAAACTGTCCGAAACTTTGACACGTCACTTCTGATCGTCTAAGAATTGTCCTGACACATTCAAAATTTGGATTTTTCAAAAAAATTTTTTAACTCAGTCCAGACCAGAACCAAAATGGCGTCGAGCTCTCATATTTCAATCAATATGCAATTATCGAAGGCCTGATATGAGAATCGAAAGGGTCAGGACAATTTTACGACAATTTAGAACACTCTGGTAATCGATAAACTCGCATTTGAACGGGATAAGGGCAAAAAAAGTGTTGTATGCGCTTCTATGCCAAAACGATGGTAATACGAGGTCTTGGAGTGAAAATTTAATTGACCTGGAAATCACAGATGGCGCAGGGGGTCCCTCCGCAGTCAATTAGGGCCCCAGAAGACATGAATCCAGAGGATTTCTGGAGTTTTACTTCGATTTCTTGATATTATTGTACGAAAACGACAGGCGGAGTATGCCATTTGTTACAATACTCAATATAATTCGGTATAGCTGTCGATATAAAAACGAACGTCGGCAACGTAGGCATTTAAAAAAATCTTCGTTATCGACGTCGATAAAGTTCCTCGACGTGTTTCACTTCACCTTAAAAAAAGGTTTTATTTGAGTCGGCTGGTTTGAGGGGGGTTTCACTTCACCTTAACTCGTTATTTCAAAGCAAATGAATAAATGGACTGAATAAATATCGAAATTTCAGACGGTATGCGGAAGTCTGGGGACCCTCCTGAAGGTGCGCGTGGCGTCGAGGTCGAACACGCCGGAACATAAACCATCAAAACCGAATGGAGAAGTGGCCGAAACAAAGGAAACTCCTAACCCTGAAGAGAACATGACCATCGAAACGAGTGACAACCCTGAAAATTCCGAAATCACCCCGGAAACCAACCCTGGGTCGATTCCCCAGAAGAAGGTGGACATCAACGAGAAGATGGGGTCCCATCTCGATAAGCTGGATTCCCTTATCTCAAAAGCCGAAAACGCTCAGTACAGTATGCAACACCAGTCGAAGCAGATGAAGAAGTTCTTGAAGTAAATCTCAAGCACCTCAATTAATCCTACGAATAATCAAGATCGAATCGAAATTCAAGCATGATATTCGCTGTTATGGACGAGCTTCTTTACAATTCATTATAATGGATAATGTCATCGATCCTCGGATGTCCTAGATCATTTTCTAATCTAAAATCAGGTGAAGGGAATGACGTATTATTTTTACCTCTTTGTTAAGAAAATCGAAAATCGACGGTAATGTTCACGCTTCTCGGATATTTTTATTTAGAAAGTAGATTATTGGGAGATAGCTCCGAGAAGCGCATACATTTTTACATTAACATTTGCGCCAAATTTCACTATGATGTTCGTAATCGGTGAGTTAAAATATGTAAATTTACGGAGTTTCGAATTAATCGGAGGTGTGCGCTTATCGAAACTTGACCCGATAATTGCATTCATTTTTGGAGATGAATATTTCAGAGAAATTAGATGATGTCATTGTAAGCGGTATTTCTCCTCATCTAGGTTATGTTGAGAAGTTTGATACCGTTTTCATCTCGACATAGGTGTCATTTACATAGCTTTGTACGTAATTCAGGTGACTCGATGGTTCTTCAATGTCCGCTTCGCTTGGATGAATATTTAACGGTTTAACGATCCGCTGTTTGAAGCAAATTTTCAGAATATAAAGTACCTCTATGATGTAGAGATGAATTATAATTCATGGTATGCGGCTTGCAGAAATCGGTGAAAATGGCGAACACGTACTTGACACGAATTAGAGAGTGATTCTTTGATTTTATTTTTGGACACATTTGTTGTTGAAATTTAAAAATGCAGTTTTGTTTTTTTTTTTTTTGTTATTTCAGGGTAATTTACTTGGCCGTGGGTGTCATCGAGATTAGGTATTGGATTTTTAGTACATCGATGATACTGCTCAATAAATCATGAGGATTGTCGAAATTTGAAAATGAATTTTTGTCGGATATTTCGAAACATCGGAGAACTACTTTCGAAGGTCTATTCAAGATGGCGGATTTGCTCTTTGCGTATTCCTATCTCGATTCCGAGATTTACAGCAATTAATTGCTTGTAAATTGCAGTCAAAGTACGAAACTATTATTTGTACCGATTTACGAGGAACGGAAATCAGCGATTAAAGAGTAATCAGGTTACTCCAGAGTTCGAGGTGACGGTCGATAATGCAAGACGTAATGGCTTGAATATATTTAGACTCGTAATTAGATTAATTGACGGAATACTGTTCTCTGTCCGGGTCAGTCCTGAAATTTCTGTACCGAGTTCAGACTCAATGATTACTTGTTTTTCCGTATTACGTTAAATTTACCACGAAGGTAGGTCGCTCAAAAAAAAAAAAAAGGAAACTTCAGTCATCTCGCGACATTGGATTAATTACCATTGATTATAGACATTTCTCCCTTATAGATATGTTTATTATCAGAGTATCGTTATCATTAAAACGAAGCGTACGGAGGATAATCCCAGATTAAAGAGAGTAGAAACTGTAAATTGTAAATAGCTTTACCTTGCCTTATCATCATTTGATAGTTCGTTATCATTCGCTAAAAAGCTTACAAGGAATATTTGTTGCTTACTTATTTTTTTCGGAATTGGAAAGCTTTTGCTTTTAATTTTTTGTTTTTATGTAATACGATGGTGAATGTAAATGAACGCAAAGAGATTTAATTCGAGTAATGTTAACGCCTGCTTTTTAATGTATTTGGCGCGAAACTCAACCGAGTTTCCTGATTAGAACGTCGAAGACACGTTTTGTTGAAAATGATTCGGAGAGAGTAAAGTGCTTGTACATTGTCGTTAGCGAAGTAATTGCCATAAATGTTTACATTGTAATTTACGAAATAATTAGCGTGACTGGCTCTTGCAGTCATTGACGAAACGGGTATACGGTCAGCCAGGAATCCTGTATTTAATATTTTAGCAGCATACATTTCAGACGGTCTCTCAAGTTTCTGTACGAATTACTTGAGAATGAACGTCATTCAGTGCCTTCTTTAAGTTTACTTAACAATTGCGTCAGCGCTCGAAACTGTTAAAGCGCTTAGAAGGCAAAATCCGAACCGTTGCAATCATTCCTGCAGTTGATATTCTTGTAATTAAAGTCATCGTTGTAATCATTGTTGCTAAAGGTGTTACTATATCGAGCGGTTGATACTGTTATTTTCGCCGCCAGTAATCTGGCATTATTATAAATAATCAATGTAGAAAGTGCATATCCGATTTCCAACGTTCAATGTCTCTACTAATTAACCGAAGGGTTGATACAATCGTAATCGTACTTCGACCTAGTGGGAGCGATACTCTCCCTCAAGGGAGATACAATACTTTTTGATATATAATAAAATGAGATAATTAAAAGTATTCCTCGATTAACAATTTCAAATGTAGTGCCAACGAACATTCGATTTACAGGGTGCTATGACGTAGTCAAATTAATCACTCGTACTGTACACCGGAATGTATAACTCAACGGTGTCTGTATAGATTTTCGATAAAATACCGAAAGTGTACATAAATCCAATCGAACTGGATAATGTGGCAAAATTTGTATTAGATTTAATATTTCAACTCACCGTACCGATACTCTAGATTTCACTTTTAGCTATATTTGTCCATCTACTCTGTGTCAGATGTTTGTCAATATTTTTTAATCGATTTTTAAGGAAATGTTGTCAACGATGCGTGTCAATTTTTTCTGTGATATTGCCTTCTATTTCACAGTGTATCGAAAGAAGCTACGATGACTGTATCTAATCGTATTGATTTCATCGAATCACTATAATTTGATTAGTCGTTCAATGGAATAAAGGCAATTCGCAGGGAAACCATGCGGTGTAAAGCAGGCATTTCCACCTTGAAATTTAATTTACGGTTTAATACGTTTCCGCGGGTTAGTGGAAATACACCTTTATCGGATTTAAATTATTGACACATGGTTAAGTTCATCCAAAGGTGAAGATTTCAGTCCTCGATGCTCTCGATTATATAGTGCTTGCGATAATATTAATATATCCAGATAACTGAAATTCATAAAACGGATTAATAAATCTAAAACTTACAGATGTCATTATCATTAGGTTTAGATTAGGTTTATAATTGAGTCATGAGTTACAAGGCATTAAAAGGAATAAATTTACGTGGAGTGCTGGAAACAATTTCATAAATCATTTGAACTGATTTTTTCTGACGTATTCGTGAAACGGAGGAAAAGTGGGGCATCACTTTCTAGTCAATCTTTCTACTGGAATGTCCTTGAAAAATGTCTGTAAAAGGAAATAAAATGCAAAAGACAGTGAAATGTTTAAGAAAGTGTCTTCAGAAAGACTTTCTAAGAATTGGGTATCGAGAACACTTCCGATGCATAATGCAAACCGTAATTTTCTCTTGGACATTTCCCTCGGCTACAAAAATATTCTAATTTTATAACACTTCCGTTGAAGGTTTTATTTAGACATGGTAGACTAATTTTATAAGACATTTTCAAAGTAAACTTGTGTTATCAATTTGCACAATGCCAAGTGTGTGGAAATATGTGTGAGAATTTATCGGATATATACGAAACATATAAAATTGTATTAATGTACTTTTAGCGATACATTTACCCAGTTACACTTTAAACTCTGTAAACATAATCTTTTGATGTTAACGTATGCTATTATCATTACGATAAGAGAAATGTTGTAAAATGAGCGATCCGATCGCGCTAAAACGTCCTGTGATCAATTTTCTTGTACCCAGTCTGAAAATGTTTGTACGGGCAGAGCATTTTCCATTAGGAATTTCAATTATGCGACAATATTACTATCAATATACTTCCTTTACTCATTTAATTAACGTTAAACATCCAGGTCACGAAATTCCATTTTTTTAAATACTACGACACGTTTCCCTTGGGAAAGTAAAAGCATCGATCTTGGTGTCTAAATTTTCTACATGTAACAAAAGTACTTAAAAACGGAATTTACAAATTAGTAAGGATATTTACACGCATAATCACGGTGTACTGCATGTTTATTTGCGCGAAGTACAAACACATTCGATGGAAAGAAGTGCTTCTTCATATAGAAAGTGAAATGATTTGCGGAGTCATTTTCCTTCGAGTGCTTTGGACTCGAATGCCTTCTATTGTATATGAATAATGTCAGCTTTCTACGACATGCAATGCTTCATGCATTAATGTTATATATGTACACTTCTAGGTGTGCATCTAATTGCAAGTGCATCTAGTCATTCGTTGATACTTAGGCATCGTAGAAGTATTTTTTAAGTGCGCTGTTTTTCAAACTCTATCGTCCTTTTTATATAATTGTTCATGGTAGGTCTCAAAGCAATATACAGTAACTGCTATAAATATACATTATATTATGAAATATGACATGCTTGTTGATGGTTAATAGTAATAAAACATGTTACATCGATGACCAATGTTTTATCCTTAATCACTGCCCTTTTATTTTACTTTTATTAACTGCGACAATAGAGATAAAAAATAAATCAACGTGTAAAATGCACGTTATGTATAGAATTACAATTGTTGACTGTTTTTAATGGTTTTTCTGTCACATATTTCATTTTTATATTTCAAGGATTTCCCGCTAGAATTTGAATTCGCTCTGAAGGGAACGCGATCCCGTGGCAATCTCTCAACTCATTTCTGCTTCACGGCAAAGAATACAGATGTCTCTCCATAGAAGCCCAGAAGGATACGGGCCTCTGACAGAGATGAGTTGGGAGATTGCTCACGGGCAGGGTCGTGCGATCGCATCCTGTGCTGCCCTCTGGTTTCGTACGTGAGCTTTCACCGTTTTTTGCCCCCAAGGGCGGCGCAACGAATTTCTAGCAGGGGATCGCGCACACTCGATGGCGGTGCCATCAACCAGTCATCGTTGGCGGCTCACGTACCCGTGACGGTAATACCATGCGGCAGTTGACGGTGGTGGCTTACCTACGCTTACCGACACTGCTCGCTTTTGATGGTAAGGGAAGATCACTCGTGACGCTCCATTTGACTTTACTACTTATCCACTACTATTAACACTTTACCGACCGGTGAATTTGGAAGTAAATGGCGATCACGGGNCCGTCAGTGTACCTCTTTCGTCATTCTATGTGTATCTCTTTTTCTCTACCACGAAGAATACGTTGGCTAACACGTGCGTTCTTCCTCTTACAGACGTTTTCCCTTTCCATGTATCTCTCTGCTGGCGGGAAGCTCCCATCATTTTATGCGTACTCCACCACGCAGGATGCGTTGGCTACACATATGTCTTTCTCACAGACGTCCGTTCCCCTTCCATGTCGCTACGGCGGGCAGAATCCCGCCGTTTTACGCATGTCTTTCTTTCTCTCATCACCTAGAATACATTGACTAACACATGCGTTCTCATTCTCATAGCGTTCGTCCCGTTCCACATACGCCAGGGCGGGCAGAATCCCGCCGTTTATGCATGCTTTCTTTCTCCCACCATCTAGAATATACACATGCGTTCTCTTTCTCGGCATCCCCCCTTTCTTGCCGCCGCAGATCAGCTGTTTCTGTACAATTTGGTAATTTATATTAATATGAGAAAAGTGCTAAACTTCAAAGGCTTTTTTTCACAAATTCCTGACAGATGAGACCTATTGTTTCAACAAATAGTTTTGTCTATTGAAGAATACAAAATAATGAAGTACGGCGAAAATCGGGAACAACTACGTCTCGTACTCTCCTGTAAATTACATGTGCTGCAAAGCGTAGGATTGTTCGATCTTCAATAATTATATTATATCAAGATGTAATGAGTGAAAAATGTACACCGGCCGACATGAATGCCTTTCCATCATACATTGCCGTTTCCGTGTTTGCAGGGAAGGCATTCGTGTCCTCCGCAGTACGAATCGACATACGAGTCAACAGGCAGCTGTAGAGCCTTTGGTGGTGTCTCGGGTCTAAATCTGTTTTTTGCCCCGTCTTGAGACGCAGAGTGCGGAGAAGCGGATCACGGCGGGGGGGGGGGTACGAACCCCCACTTAAAGCATATATGCCCACCCGACGGCAACTCACGCCGTCCATGCTCTTCCCCTCGCTCTGTAATGCTTCAGGTCGTCCGTGCTGCCATCTAGCGTTCCACTTTGTGACTATTTATTGGGTATCAAGCGTTAACACGGGAACTGGGCTTCTATGGAGACTTCTGAATTCTTTGTTCACGGCGTTTGAAAAAGAAACAGTATGGCCGCTTCTATAGAAAATGAGACTTAAACCAGCCGAGATAATTCTTGGGAAAAGAGTGTGGTTTTTCGCTTCTGACAAGCAGAATTCCGTCAGTTTAAAATGCAAAGTAATACGGCGGTGTCGCCCAGAGTGTTCATCGCGATCCAGAATGTTAATATCAGAGAATTGTCTCTGTGCACACAAAAAGAGATCCGTCCGATATTGCCTTGCTTGGTTAGGATGAGCTTAATTTCTCCTCTGGACATAACAAAGGATTGCGTGGAAGGCCGGAAAGAAATTCTAACCATATTGTCAGGAATTGAGTCCGTTAATTCGATCGTCGCGTTACTTTCTATCGACTTCCACGCCTTAGAAACCGACGTCCGGAAGGAGCAGCAATTAAGGTTAGGTTGCCGCTTTACTGTGATTTTTAAATCTATTTTCACCTACAGATACTTGGTTCTTTTTTCTTATTTAAAGGCATTAGAATAAAAGTTAAGGTAATGTGATATAGAAAATCAACCTTGTTATAAATTTCAGGCAGAAGTTAGGTAATACACAAAGCGACAGCATACTCGCACAGTCTTTGCAAAGCGGCCTGGCTCTGGAATTCGAACGGAGTGAATCGACTCGTCGCATACGTTTGGTCTTGAGCGAAATTCTTTTTATCTCGTCTCAGATTCATGAGCTTCAAAAGAATCAGGAGTTTCAGATTAAGCAATCCGATCTCTTCGACAATGCGGTATACATGGAAGAGATCAGTTACGTGATCTGCATCGCGCTGGCAGAATTACCAGCACTGTTGTCCATATTAGACATTGCAGAAACTTTGCTGCACGTGAAACATGGTCCAGAAATTATTTGTTGGATCGTTGCCAATAGTCCCGACAGTTTCGCTGAGGTTTGTACTCACCTCATATCGAATGGCGAGAAGCAAGAAGAATCGGCATTAGGGAGGATAAGAACCCAGGCATTAACGTTGTTATGTCAAATGAATCCTAGCCAAGCATTGACAATAAGAGCAAAGTGTGTGGAGCTTTGTCGAATGCCTGCACTGGCTATAACGTTAAGTCTGGAGAACGAAAGCGTGAACAGTTGTCGGCCGGAGAGTGACATGGTGGCATTCGTGTCCGGACTGTTACTAGGTAGCGATCAGCAAGTGAGAACGTGGATTGCCATGTTCATCAGAAATGGGCAGAAGCGAAAGTGGGAGTCTCATACAGCTCTACAATCACTGAGAGAGGAACTTCTGAGAAGATTGCAAGGAATCGTGTCGTGCAGTCCTGACAGCCAGTTGGGCGAATCCCACGTAGTTCAAGCCAGCGCTCTGCTGCGACTTTATTGTGCTCTTCGAGGAATAGGCGGCATAAAATTTCAGGATGACGAAGTATCGATGATAGTGCAACTATTGACGTCTCATCCACCTCCTTCTCCGGCTGGGGTACGATTCGTTTCTTTGGGTCTCTGCATGCTCATCGCTTGCCCCTCTCTCATTGGCCACCATAATTTAGAAAAACGAAGTATAGAGTGGGTACAATGGCTCGTCAGAGAAGAGGCTTACTTCGAAAGTGCCAGTGGTGTCTCCGCAAGCTTTGGAGAAATGTTACTACTTATGGCCATTCATTTCCACAGCAATCAACTGTCTGCCATCTGCGAACTCGTCTGTGCCACTCTGGGCATGAAAATTCCAATAAGGCCAAATAATTTGACGCGCATGAAGCAGATCTTCATGCAGGAGATATTCACAGAGCAAGTCGTCACCTCACACGCCGTCAAGGTTCCAGTGACAGCGAACTTGAATGCCAATATACCTGGATTTTTACCCGTGCATTGTATACATCAATTACTCAAATCGAGAGCCTTTGCTAAGCACAGAGTACCGATAAAAAATTGGATCTACAGACAGATTTGTGATAGCGTGCCACCGTTGCATCCAGTCCTTCCAGCACTTGTGGAAGTCTATGTTAATTCCATCTTGGTATCTAGCAGCAAGACTTCGGACCACACAAATAAGCCGATAACAGAGGACGAAATTCGAAGGGTGTTTCAAAACAGCGTCTTCGGGGCTAATTTTGACAGGAAGAAGAGTGTAATGAGTATAGCAGATGTCGAGTCAGACTGTGTCGATGTTGACACTTCGGAGCCATCCTTGACATCCCAGTTATTACTCCTGTACTATCTTTTACTATATGAGGATGTTAGATTATCCAACATGTACAATTACATGTCGCAAGGCAGGAAAGTGAAGTCTTACTCCACGGAGTTTCTTTCCGAGCTGCCGATTAAGTATCTGTTACAACAAGTGCAGAGGGACCAAATGAGCTATGCAGGATTATTTTCTCCTCTCTTGAGGCTCTTAGCCACTCATTTTCCTCACCTTTCATTGGTCGACGACTGGCTTGACGACGAAATGATTAACATCGATGCCATGACTGCTAATTACGAAACGGTTGTTGTCAACGATATGTCCATTATTGAAGCGTTTGGTCATGTCAAGACTTGCCCCTCCAGGACCGGTCGAATGCTTAGACAATTGATGTCGATGAAGACTACCGACATCTGGCCACATGCCGAAACAATTATTCACTTCTTCAAAGCCATTCTTGATGACAAAGTACCTCGATACATACAAGGTTAGGTTTCACGTCAAATATGACAGTATACGTTCCATGACTTAATATTTAGATTAACTTTATGTACTTTACAGAACTTTACAAGCAAGTTTGGTTGCGATTGAATACCGTCTTGCCACGGTGTTTATGGGTTATGTCGATAAATGCCCTGTTAATCGAAAATTCAACAGTGAAGAACGTATTCCTTACACAAGAGAACATTGTTCTGGACCCGCTGCAGGTATTGCGTTGTGACATGAGGGTGTTTAGGTGTGCTCCAGTATTATCCGTCATCTTGAGGTAATTTTTAGCTTAAAGGAACATATAATGCTATCGTTGGTGTTAATCGATGTAAAGTTAATTAAACCTTCACTGCGTTAGGATTTTACAAGCCACGTTGGCAGCTTCTCGGTCCCAGTTGTCAAGGCACATGCAGGACAGACCTTTGACAGAGAAGATCGGTCAACTGACAAGCGAAGCCGAGAGAGAGGATCTTCGCACAGCCCTCGTTGCTGGTCAAGAAAGTGCAGCGGTACAGATTTTGCTCGAGACGTGTCTCGAAACACAAGAGGATCGAGAGACTCCGGGGCAGATGTGGTCCCTCAGGGAGATCCGCAGTGTCGTTTGTTCATATTTACACCAGGTTTTCATCGCAGATCCCTCCCTGGCGAAATTGGTGCACTTTCAGGTACAGGTTATGTTTGGCATAATTACGTTAAAAGTCAACGGTCACATTTTTACATTAATATTCGTTGTACTTCAGGGATACCCAAGAGAATTGCTCCCCATAACTGTGTCTGGGATTCCCTCGATGCATATCTGCTTGGACTGGATCCCAGAATTGTTATCTCAACCTGAACCTGAGAAGCAAGTCTTCGCTGTTGACTTGGCCTCTCATCTTGCCGTTCAATATGCTCTTCCGAAAGCTTTGAGCGTTTCTCGCCTCGCTATTAATACCTTGGTCACTCTATTGGGCGTGTTACCTGCGAAAGATCGAGTAATCCTGTTTATGCCGGTACTTAGTGCTCTCACCAGGATTTGTTTGGCATTTCCACCTTTGGCCGAAGATACCACAGGATTGTTGATGCAGCTCGGAAGAGTCAGTTCTGCTCAGGCAGCTTTAGGTGACAAATCTGCAGAGATTCTTCGTCAAGAAGTTAACGCGACGTTTTGCACTCTCCTGCAAAAGGCCATCCTTCAGTCCAGGGTTTACTGAACTAAGATTCCTAACCTAAAAAGTTGAACATCGGAACGTACTTCAATTTCAGTTTGTCAAGATTACGAGCCAGATTAATTAACTCCCTGTACTATAAATCTTGTACATACTTTATTGTAATGCAACGTAAAGTGCTTTTTTTCAGAAACATCGACTCTATTTGAGTCTAAAGAGTCGAGTCCACATTTAACCTATATGTGATCGTTTGTACATAAGAATTATTTATACCTCTTGTTTATAAAGCCCGAAATGAATGATTAATAAGAAAACTGAGATTTATAGAGAATGTCTGGTGTTTCTGGTCGTTATTTGGCGTCCTTTACTATTTCCATTCAATTTTATTATCGACGAACACTTATCAGGCCGAGAAGGTAAGACCACTTGTACATTTCTTAATAAATTTTGTGAATGTTGTGTTTGTATCTTCTGTCGGTATCTTGCGTCTCTCGATGCTTGATGACAAAGTAGCTTCTGTGTTCTGCATATGTGCACACACGCTTCTCTATATTGCAAGATGTCTTATATCAGATGAGAAATGCAATATAAAGGCCTTCCGTTTCTTGACTCAGTAGCTCGCCCATATTCGTCTCGCCTTCGTCAATATGCCAGTTCGATGTGAATTTGCTTTTATATTTCCATGTATGAAAATCTTTATATTTATCCGTATGCAGAAATAATTAGTTCACTTGGCCAATGTTTGTCTCTGTCACTATTTAGTTCTGGTTAAACCGTTTTATTAATATTATAAAATATTTCAAGCCATAAATCAAATTTACCAAGTTAATTTAATATTTCGCGTGATCTACTCAGTGCTGTAAAATTCTCGACAGGTTTAAGTTTGAGTAATATAACCGAGAATGTTACGGTAATTTAAAATAATTTATTACTCTTAATAAGTAATATTCACGAAGTCAAGGTACTTTTAAGTTGAAAACACTGTCCCTTTTATTTTCGATTCCTCTCTTGCTTGCGATGATTTTCCACTTCCGCCAGGGGAAATATATTTTTATACATTGGTGGTATTATTCGCCGTGATTTGCAATTTATCTCCTTGCTGCAAGAAAGTGTACCAATTCTGAATATTTCGTAAGACTTATGGTGAAGTGAAACACGTCGATTAACTCGATCGACGTCGATAAAGAAGATTTTTTTAAATGCCTACGTTGCCGACGTTCGTTTTTATATCGACAGCTATACCGAATTATATTTGGTATTGTACCAAATGGCATACTCCGCCTGTCGTTTTCGTACAATAATATCAAGAAATCGAAATAAAACTCTAGAAATCCTCTGGATTCATGCTTTTTGGGGCCCTAATTGACTGCGGAGGGACCCCCTGCGCCATCTGTGATTTCCAGGTCAATTAAATTTTCACTCCGAGACCTCATATTATCATCGTTTTAGGATAGAAGCGTATATAACACTTTTTTTGCCCTTATCCCGTTCAAATGTGAGTTTATCGACTATTAAAGTGTTCTAAATTGTCGTAAAATTGTCCTGACCCTTTAGTTTCTCATATCAGAGCCTTCGATAATTATATACTGATCGAAATATGAGAGATCGACGGCATTTTGGTTCTGGTCTGGGCTGAGTTAAAAAATTTTGTTGAAAAATCCAAATTTTGAATGTGTCAGGACAATTCTTAGATGATCAGGAGCGATGTGTCAAGGTTTCGGACAGTTTGGTCTAATACCCTTAAAAAAAAAGTGTTGTATTCGAATCGACTGATTTGAAGGGTGTTTCACTTCACCTTATCTTGGGAAATGCATCGTATTTTTCAAGTAGCAAAAATGTATCAATTGGTGGATCCTTCCTGAGTATTTTTCAAGCGGGTTCAACAAGACGAAAGTTACTTTTGTACGTGGGGGTGGACTCAGGTTACCCGCCGAGCTTCCCTTGTTCTTTCACCGAAACGAGCACTCGTCCGGAGAACTGGAAAGCCAAATAAAAAAAAGGAACAGGAAGGAGGGAAAAGTAAACCAAAAGAAGACACAATTGGCGACCCGGAATCGATCGAATGGCGTCCCTCGGTCGCGATTTAAGCATTTCGGTCGTGTACAATCTCGCGTGGGGTTTTCGCTATGGCAATCGAATTAGCTCGGTGCCATTTTGCCGATTCCCTTCGATGTTTCTACCGCAAGGCTCGCACGAGAAATCCGTGGCAGGGCCCTTTCATTTTATTTTACAAACCGTCCAACGACCCAATCTAATTACTCCGACCGTAAACCTCCCTGCGGAAGGCCAGGAGGAATGACTTTTTCACAATTGAATACGAATAATCGAGCGTTTCGAAATCGACGAGAATGCGAAAAAAAGGAAACTGGAACCGTGGACCAGTAATACGCAATTATTTTAACCCCGCCGTCGGAATTAAATGCAGGTAAATGTCATGGCATTGGCCATGAATTTTATTTTAACAACGCACTTAGGGAGGTTTCAATTTCTCTCCGTGGAATGATTATAAACATTTCCTTTATGATTATTTTAACGCATCGAAATAATTGTTCTCGGTGACGTTTCACTCCCCTTTGAATAGTGACAAAGAAATATTCCTTCGAACGGTACCAATGAAATATACTTTTAATTCAAAGAATAATTCTTTCGCTCGAACAAGTCGTCAGAATTCCGAATAAATCGTCGCATCGAGTAAATTATAATTCATTTGAATGAAATAATTATTTCTTCGACACGATTTGAAGAAATATTTCCCAGATTCAGTGAGAACTTTTATTCGCTGCATGAAATTCTTGAGAGTTAAGGTGAAGTGAAACCCCCTTCAAATCAGTCGATTCGAATACAACACTTTTTTTTATGGGTAAAAGTCCAAACTGTCCGAAACTTTGACACGTCACTTCGGACCATCTAAGAATTGTCCTGACACATTCAAAATTTGGATTTTTCAAAACAATTTTTTTATTTAGTCCAGACCAGAACCAAAATGGCGTCGAGCTCTCATATTTCGATCAATATACAATTATCGAAGGCTCTAATATGAGAAACAAAAAGGCCAGGACAATTTTACGACAATTTAGAACACTCTGGTAATCGATAAACTCGCATTTGAACGGGATAAAGGCAAAAAAAGTGTTGTATGCGATTCTATGCTAAAACGATGGGAATACGAGGTCTCGGAGTGAAAATTTAATTCACCTGGAAATCACAGATGGCGCAGGGGGTCCCTCTGCAGGTCAATTAAGGCCCCAGAAAGCACGAATCCAGAGGATTTCTACAGTTTTACTTCGATTTCTTGATAATTATTGTACGAAAACGAGAGGCGGGGTGTGCCATTTGGTACAATACCCAATATAATTCGACCCAGCTGTCGATATAAAAACGAACGTCGGCAACGTAGGCATTTAGAAAAATCTTTATCGACGTCGATCAAGTTTCTCGACGTGTTTCAGTTCAACTTAAGGTGCCGACGTTCGTTTTTATATTGACAGCTGGGTCGAATTATATTGTATATTGTACCAAATAGCATATTCCACCTGTCGTTTGCGTACAATAATTATAAAGAAATCGAAGTAAAACTCCAGAAATCCTCTGGATTCATGCCTTCTTGGGCCCTAATTGACTGCGGAGGGACCCCCTGCGCCATCTGTGATTTCCAGGTCAATTAAATTTTCACTCCGAGACCCCGTATTACCATCGTTTTAGCAAAGAAGCGCATACAACACTTTTTTGCCTTTATCCCGTTGAAATGCGAGTTTATCGATTACCAGAGTGTTCTAAATTGTCGTAAAATTGTCCTGACGCTTTCGATTCTCATATCAGAGCCTTCGATAATTGTATATCGATCGAAATATCAGAGATCGACGCCATTTTGGTTCCGGTCTGGGCTAAGTTAACAAAATTTTTCCAAAAATTCAAAGTTTGAACGTGTCAGGACAATTCTTAGATGGTCAGGAGTGATGTGCCAAAGTTTCGGAGAGTTCAGTCTAATACTCTTAAAAAAAAGTGTTGTATTCGAATCGACTGATTTGAAGGATGTTTCACTTCACCTTAATGGGAATTATATCGTAAGTTCGGCGTCGTCTCTTGCGTATGCAAAATGGCGGATGCTAATGTCGACGACATTGTCCGTCGTCGGGTTAACCGCAAGAAATGGCACGTGAAATGAGTTTCTCGTCGTGCGAGGACTTGGAAGAATACAGACGTCTCGGTTGTCGGATTGAAATCACGAGGAAGGTGTTGGTGGCCGTAACAATAACCGTAACAGTGATACTTGCTCTAGTATCGCCGATAAAGAGGACCGGCGTAAAAATTAAACGACATTACGAGCCGTTTTACGGCCGTTAAACGCAATGCTCCTTTGGGGACACTTATATACGTTTGAATACATTTACAGCTGCATTTACGGGATCCATTATAGCCAAGAGCTGGTCGAACCGATTTTATTTCCGGCCTTGTCTTACAATCTTCAGAGTTTCGCGCCAAATACATGTAAGAAGTAGGTCCATCGTCGCGGTACTCCCAAAGATTATTTAAAAACTGAAAGAAACAGTTTGTTTGCTCGAAATGTCTAAATATAAATGTCTCGGAATAATATTCACGTCCTTTATTTAGTTTGTTAGATTTCACAATGGGTAGGGAGGATGCCGCCATTAGGGTAAGTCCGGGATAGTTGGACCATGTTGTTTTAAAGTAATTTTTTCTGAAACTTCGCAATGTCTAGGATTTGGTATATTTTTTTATAATAAGTATATATGACCTTGAACAATTGTAAGCACTTCTCCAGCTGCTACACTAATCACACTTGAAGTTATGATTTTTTCTTTTTTTTACTCGGTAGTCCATCTATCCCGGGGGTACTCGGGTTAGATGGACCACCTCCTAGGGATTGATGGACCTCTGGTATACGTTACTAAATCAGGGTGTAACACAAGAAATACATGTTATCAAAGGTATAAACATTGTTTATTTCAAAGTATAAAGTTATAAACTGCTTGAAAAGTGATTAGTATAGAGTTATAAACTATTTGAAAAAGGATAAGTAAATTTGATAGTCAATATACTTAGAAAATATAGGTAGTCTGATTTATATTCACATCCATCCATCCATTCATCCATATATCCATTTATATAGAAAGTAAAGCCCTAATAGGAGATATGGTCCGCCTATCCCAGGTTTTTTCAAGTAGTCCATCTATCCCAATTGTCGGGGATAGATGGACCAGTTTCCCGTCCAGACAAACAACGCTACCGGCATGCCATTTTAGGTCAAGATTGTACTCAAGTATACACTTGAGTTATAGGATTGATCTTACGTCGAAATCATTTAAACTA